AGTTATTCTTAGTAAGCTTATAATATTTTCTGTGAGCTCTCTCTACTATGTTTTGGTTACCAGAAATTTTTTGTCTTGTGTTTCAAAGAAAAATGGTTATTTTCAAAGTCTTAGTCTAAAAGTCTTATTCTGAAGTTTTTTTTTTTTTTTTGCCAGTCATGGGGCCTGAACTCTGGGTCTGGGCGCTGTCCCTCAGCTCTTCAGCTCAAGGCTAGCGCTCTACCACTGGAGCCACAGCGCCACTTCCAGCTTTTTCTGTTTATGTGGTGCTGAGGAATCGAACCCAGGGCCTCATGCTTGCAAGGCATACACTCTACCACTGAGCCACCTTCCCAGCCTTATTCTGAAGTTTTATTCTAAAAGCTGTGAGTTATTTCTCAGCATGTGATTTTTAACTAATATCCTGAAATGGCATAGAAAATTAAGTTAGGAATCATAGATCTAATTCCTTGTAATTCATTTTTGTAACAGTTCATCCTTTTGTTACCAGGAGCTGACATGTAAGCAGAAATGATCTTTGTCTGAATAATTTTCTTCTTCACATTCTGTCTACACCCCAAACTATGAGCACTTTTATTTTGTACACTGACCTCATACTGGAAGGTAAGGAACATATAGAACAAGAAAAAGGATTGAGAAGAGGAAGGTAAATGATGATACTTAAAATTCTATTTAGGCCACTAGGTATTTATTCACTATTTTGCTATGATCACTATCTATCAATTGCTATCATTTTGTAAAAGAAAGGAAGAAATTCACCCTGTTAAAGCATGGTAAAGTAGACTTAAAGAAGAGTAGCCTATGGCAATTCATACATAGATTACTGTGATGGAATTTTGTACTGGAGAGAGATAGTTTGGTATTAACACTCAGTGTAGTGTGGCTACGTGTGAATTTAAAACCAAGTAGCAGGATGGGGGTCAGGGGTTAGAGAAGTTGAGAAACAACAAAGAGAAACTGTTAGGTAGATAAGGATAGAAAATAGCATACATGACATGAGGCAGACAACATGTGGCCCATTGTGGCCATAATGCCTTGGGCTCCTGCTCAAAATGGCATTTCTTTTTCCTTCAATGCCCTGAGTTCCTGCTCAAAATCATATTTAGGTAGTGAGGTCACAGTCAGGCATGATCAGTTGGATTTGCTTGTGTCCAGTGGCAGAGTTCACATGTGGGTCCTCACTGACCAGTCGGATCCTGGGAAGAAGAATTAATTAATTAAAGGCATAAAGGCCACTGTTCCGGGGGACTTCATTAGACTCCCAGCACCAGGATCCTTCTTACAGAGTCTCTGTTCTGCTCCCACTTTGAAGAAACTTTCTGCATCACCACGCTAATTCTTTACTTGGTGGAGAAATAGGACCCGTGCCCCTAGATAGATAGATGGAAATTTCTGAAAGAAAATACTATGGATAAGAGGCTTCTGGCTCAAGTGACCTAACAGAATCCTCACTGAAGACAGGCCAGGCTGATCATGTATCAGCAGGGGCATGGTGGAGGGTGAAGATCTGGATCAGATATCTGTGGTGAGCGGATATCAAGTGAGAGAGGTTCTTGCTGAACGGACTTATAAACTTTCACTTTTTATAAGGAACTACACAAGTGGGCACTGACATTTCTGGAGCCTGACTGAACACTGACCAAGCAAACAGTCTTACGTATCAAGTATCAATTGACAGGACAATTCATGAACAAAGGCTGTGGCATAGAACAGTAAGCCCTCATTTAGACCTTAGGATCCTTGGTGGGTGATTTGGGGTGGCTGGCTTTCTCCACTAAGGTCTGTCTGTGTGAGCTGAGGATTGAGTTACTCTGAAAGATGAACCTCAGGAAGAGGGCAAATTTTAGTGCCAGTTCTGGGGCTTGAACTTAGGGTCTGGGTACTGTCCTTGAGCTTCTTTTGTTCAAGGCTTATGCTCTACCACTTGAGCCACAGCTCCACTTCTGGCTTAAAAAAATTTGGGGGGGGGGAGGTTAGTTTATTAGAGATAGTTAAGAGTCTCACAGACTTTCCTGACTGAGCTGGCTTTGAACTGTGATCCTCAGATATTATCCTCCTGAATAGCTAGGATCACAGGTATGAGCCACCAGTGCCTGGCATATAAATTATTTTAAACAGAAAAAAGTCAGAGCCAATGGCTCATACCTGTAATCCTAGCTACTCGGGAGGCTGAGATCTGAGGATTGCAATTCAAAGCCAGTCCAGGCAGAAAAATCCCTGGGAGACTCTTATCTCCAATTAATCACTCAAAAACCAGAAACAGTGCTATAGCTCAAGTGGTAGATTGCTAGCCTTGAGCACAAAGATGTTCAGGGACAGTACCCAGGCCCTGAGTTCAAGCTCCACAACTGACAAAAAAAATTAAAATCATTGTTACTATTAATTACTAGTTGTACAAAGAGGTTACAAGTCCATAAGTATGGTCATAAGTACAATGTTTCTTACTCAATGTCACCCCTTCATTCACCCTCATTTTCCCCCTCCTACCTTCAAGGTATGTAGTTCATTTTTTTACATAATGTAAATTGGCTGTAATGACTGCATTTTCTCACCCTCCCACTCTCTGGTTTCATGGGGTAGAGAGGAAAGGATATAGAGAATTCAGCACAGGCAAGCTGCCTGTACACCCTAGGCTGTCTGACCTAGTGGTTCTCAAAATAGGGCACCAGGGCATTTTGGCTTATTTTGTCATTTACTACAGTGTGAGCAGACATAAATAGAATCTCAAAAAGAAGTCTTAGTTTTAATCCACAAAACTCCATACCATTCCAGGCTAACATCGCTCTGGGATGGCACATTTTAAGAGTAAATTGGTGTCTGAGCTCAACTTCTTGGGGAAATGGAATTTTACCAAGAATAATGCTTTACGACCATAATTACTGATAATAAGTATCATAGCAAGCTTTCAGAGAAACAATACATGGGGCTTCATCTAAGCTGACCATTGGGAAAAAAATCTTAACTCTGCAGTTTGTTGTTCTATAGAAGGAAACCCACTTCTAATTTTTCCACTATGTTAAAATAAACAAGCAACAGAATGAACTTGAGAAATGAATCTTCCGAAGGTCAAGCACTCCAGGAAGCCCTTTTTCCTTGTTTATCTCTACCCCTGTCCTCCCTAGTGCCTTTTCCTGCCTCCTCTGTCATTCATTCCCTTTGACTTCCTGCTGCCACTTACCTTAAGCTTCAATATCCAGAACTAGCCTAAAAATGATAGTTACCATAGAAACAAAACTGGGAGGAGGATGCTTAGCCGCACTTTGACTTTTAGGAGTACAGACCCCTGTTCACACTGAAAAATCATCATACCCAGTGACTTTACCTGAGAAAAATACACAGATGTGTGAGCATGTGTGTGTGTGCACACATACAACCTTGTATGCAGTCTCAGGGCTCCCTGAAATTCTCTTGGGGACAGAAGCTATCTGTTCACTTGTGCTGTGGAAGCTGACAGTATCACTGATGTGGGAGGAAAAGGATTCAAAAAGAGCATTTATCGATGGACCTAGTAGAAAGTTCATTACTAGTTAACTCTATTTTGTGTTTTGAGAACTTTTCTTTTTTCCTATTCATTTAATACTTGGATAGTCAGATCTGAACATGTAATACTTTCAACTTTGTGTGGTATGTGGGGTGTGTGTGTGTGTGTCCTAGAACTTGAACTCAGGGCCTGGGTGCTATCCATGAGCTTTTTTGTTCCAAGCTAGCACTTGGGCCACACCTTTTCTTCCAGCTTTTTATTGGTTGATTGGAGATGAGTCTCGGGGACTTTTCTGCCATGCCTGGCTTTAAACCACATCCTCAGATCTAAGCCTCCTGGATAGGTAGGATGACAGCTACTTCTGAAAGGTTTTGTTTTTCTTTTTTAAATGAGACAGGAAGAGGAAAATAGAAGTGAGGAGGGAGATACCTGCTGTTGAGTAAGACTGCCATTTCCCCACACTTATGAAACAGTTGTTAGTAGACACTGGAACCTCACAAATACTTAGTAGTAGCCAGGGTGAATGTTTCCTGCAAGACTCTAAGACATTCAGATTGTACAAAAGGATTCCTGTTCTGATATCACTTTACCCAGTGTAGAAACTAAATTCAAATCCAGCTTTTAGGAGATGTTAGCATAAATCCCTTTGAGTAAAAACTGGATTAAAAGGAGTGAAAGAAAAAAACACATGAAATGGAATGAGGGGGGCTGGGAAAGTGGCTCAGTGGTAGAGCGCTTGCCTTGCATGCCTGAGGCCCTGGGTTCGATTCCTCAGCACCACATAAGCAAAAAGAAAAAAGC